GCGGGAGACCCGGGTCGCCCGGCGCTGACACGTGTCACATGTGCTTTTTAAGACGGCCGGGAGCGCCTGCAAGCTGGATCTGGTGGAGGATGCTGCTGCGGCAGGTGCTTCGCAGAGGGCTCCAGTCTTTCTGCCACAGGCTGGGCTTGTGCGTGAGCCGGCACCCCGTCTTCTTCCTCACCGTGCCCGCAGTCCTGACCATCACCTTCGGCCTCAGCGCGCTCAACCACTTCCAGCCCGAGAGCGACCTGGAGCGCCTGGTCGCTCCCAGCCACAGCCTGGCCAAGATCGAGCGCAGCCTGGCCAGCAGCCTTTTCCCCCTGGACCAGTCCAAAAGCCAGCTCTATTCGGACTTGCACACTCCCGGGAGGTATGGCAGGGTGATCCTCCTCTCCCCACCCGGGGACAATATTTTGCTCCATGCTGAGGGGATCCTGCAGACCCACCGAGCCGTGCTGGAAATGAAGGTGAACCACAAGGGCTATAATTATACTTTTTCCCATCTGTGTGTGTTGAGAAATCAGGATAAGAAATGCGTGCTGGATGATATTATTTCAGTGCTAGAGGATCTCAGGCAGGCTGCCGTCTCCAATAAGACAACAGCCAGGGTGCAAGTGAGGTATCCCAACACTAAATTAAAGGTATGCTCCTCCTGCATGCTTCTGCCAATTAAAGAGGCAGCACTTCATTTCTTGCCCTAAACAAGCAAAGAAAATGCAGAGGTCTCACTCATCTTTAAGACTCAGAAGCTGATGCTTCTTTCATTTTGGGGGGGAAAGATGGGCAACTGAGTGAAGAAAACAGGCAATGAATGGTATGACTAGATATTAAGAATATTCAAAGTCAAACAAAACAAATGCCAAAAAAATGAAAAAAAAAGGAAAAAAAATGATTCCTGAGACCCTGCAATTACATCTTTGTTCAGGGTTAATAAATCAGTGAATGGAAAGGGGGAGGGGGAATCCTGAACAATTTGGGGGATTTCTTTTCATTATGGGGCTCAATGTATTTCTTATTACTGATTACACATCCACCTGGCGCCATATCCACCTATCTGCATCTTCAGCCTGGCTTGATTTTGACATGTAGGGAGTTTTGTCTCAGTGCCCTGTGTGAGTCTGTCTGAGAGTAATGGGTATGAATGCAGTTGGGATTCCAGGAACTGTGTGTATGTGTGTTGGCATAGCAAAAGGAGCAGGGATTTTCTCTGTGTGAAAATGGGAATGTGCAGCTAACTGATGTACTAGTTTACTGAGCCCTGTTATCTTCTTCTCATGAAAATATCTAAACCAAGGCAAGATTATTATAGTAGCAGAAGAAAAGAAAAAAGTCCACAATCAGCAAAAATTGCAAAGGATGGTTATTTCAGCACTACAAATACTGTGCTGTTTAAACGCTCAATTCAAATTGTGTTGCTCCAATGAGATTTCTAAACTCATCCTACACTGTCAGGATTGAGCTGCTGCGGGCAATGAGGCATGCAGTCTCCAGGTGACTGAAGTTTCAGGGACAAATGTGACTTCCAAAGAGTCACTGCACCATTTGTATGCTCGACCCTATGCAGGCTCAGAGGCTGCACAACCAAGTATTCCCAAGACAGGGGTTTCCCCAGAAGAAGGAATTTTCTTTCTTCTAATGTGTGTGACGAAGGGTGTGTGTGTGTGTGTGTGTGTGTGTGTGTGTGTGTGTGTGTTTCCATAGGGATCATGGAATAGGAGGAACCCCAGGTTCAATAAATGGATGGCCTAAATATAGGAAATCGCTAATATTTCTGTTTATCTGATATTGTCAGCATCTATACACACAAAATAATTTTCTCATGATTTTTGAGATCAAAAGCCTCTTTTCCCTGAACTGAAGGAGGATTTAATGCACTTAGCAACTAGGGATTCCTTGGGAAACCTCATCACCTGCTTCCTTTTAACATGTTGTTTTTATTTAAATGCATCCGGAGGCTGACAGGGTTTCAGCCCCTTGTTTAGTTGAACAGCCCCTTGAGGTTTAGTGAAACTGGACAGATGATTCATCAGCTTGAAATCTAGGTAAGGGCTTGTCTGCTTCACACTTATTGAAGGGAGTATGATGAATATACTAGTATGTGGTTGGGCAGCATGCTTTTCATTTTCTGGATCCTTTACATCAGCATTATTGCTTGCTAAACAAAAGGATGTGGTGGGGAGTGATCTTTCCAGCTACAGCCTTTTAACTGAGTTCTTTTCTATGCCAACATCAGGTGTAAAGAAAGGTTTGAAACTTCCGTTAGTTTTCCCTATTGAGCCTAGTTTGCACTTTATTGAGATGCATTCTTTGTTGGGTCCCTTGTTTCCTTTATTCAGCAGTATTCTCTAGGTGTAAGAGCTTTGGCCAACCGGCCACTGTGGACATTTTGTTTATCATTATGACATTTATAGTACAGACCCCTGAGGCCTTTAATTCACTTATTTAATAATTGTTAGTTGTGCTCCTATGATTTACCAGGTGTTCCTCTCAACACATGAGATAGAATTTGAGGCACAAAAATCAGGGTTCTTACCCTCGTGGGGCTTAAAAGTAGTAGATGTCAGCGTTCCCACCCAGAGTTACCTGTAAGCAGGGACTCTGTAATTTTGGGGTCCATCATTGAGCCAACTCCATGCTAGGCCTATAAGAGGGGCTCCATCTAAACTTGTTGCCTGATTGGTTGGTCGATCTACGTCTTGGTAGAAATTAGAAGATAATCATAAAGGAATGGAGTAATAGATTATGAAGGTCAATGTAGTAAAAGTAGAATTATCCACTAACCATAAAATAACTGAATTATATATTGGCTCTATAAACTGTGAAGCCCTTATTCTGCTATATTCTAATGTCAATGTCTCCTCAAATGTGTTGGCTTGACTCTCACTGCAGACATCAGTGGTGTCCTTAAGCTATGTTTGGGTAAATGAATCCTTGAAGAATCTTCTGTGAACAATGGGCCCTCTCAAGCTTCCAATATAATCTCATACAAGCGAATGCAATATAAAATATAATTTGTGGAGTACCGTGGATACTTAGAATCCTATCAAAGGCCCCCAATGACTTTCAGGTTAACTGCCTGGCACACAGTAAAGGGATATGGCCTATTTCAATTGCATGTTATTTGGAAATAATTTTTTAAGTCATGTGTGGCAGTGATATTCAAAGAGTGTCCCTACGATGCTGACACATGCTAAAGTTAGAGACTTTCTGGTGTTGGAGGGAAAATTTTTATATGTATGTTTTGTGGCCCTCTGATTCATTTGCTTTCCTCTCTCATATTTGGATCACCAACCTTTCCACCTCAGGACAATATGGAAAATTTTAGTGCTGGAAGATGTTCTTGGTGGGCAGGGAACCAGAAGTTGAAGAAAAATGCAAAATAAATAGCAGTGGCTGGATGATAGACCAGGGATTGGCATTTTCCTGACATGATATAGCTTAGAGGTAGTCTGAAGATGTCTAAACAACGATTGACAGAATGGAGTGGTCGAACACCTTAGTTATGACAACCATAAGGGTGCCTTCCAAATATTATTTATACACCCAAGTAGTCCTGAACACAGAAAGGGTTAGGACTTCTGATAAACATGATTATCTTGACAAGGTGATCCAGACAAGCAGGGACACAGAAAGTTGCTAGTATAGAATTCTAAACAGAGGCTCAGATAAAGCTGGCATGAAAAAAGCAGCAGTCAGCTTAGAATAATACTACAGAAGAAATAAACATACACATTTTTGAAAGCTGTGAGGAAAACAGGCCAAAATCTGAAATCCCTACACCTATATAATGTGAACTCCATCATTGTGCCTATCATTATAATCTTTATGTTGTTATATCTCTGATTAGGCGCAAAGGCCATGTCTTATATTCCTTCTATACTAGTCACATTCCTGCAGCCCAACCTTGTCTGTGTCTACATAGATAGCAGTCACATCATTGATTAGTAGGTTCATTAATTTGTACATTTATGCTGTATTATCACAAAATCATCATCACTTTTTAAACATCTGTGACATGCTTTTTGGAAAAAAAGGCATTATCTACATTTTCCTGATTTCTATAAAGTATTTTTGACCCCAATAATTTGGGGGTCTTTTTTTTCAACTTTTAAAACATCAATTTTTAAATTTTCAGTTAAATATATACATATTGTTGAAACTAGTCTCGTGATTAAAATGAGACTAGCACTTAGAGTCATTATGCAAGGACTACTCTGGACTCCAGAATGTGTTTTCATTATAATTCAAGGGGCTCAGGTGTTGGAGGTGATATTTTTCTGCCTCTTAGGTAGGCCATCATGACTGCACTTTTCCATCTGGCTAGTTCCAAGAAAGGAAACAATTCCCATATGTCCCCTGTTCTTTATTTTGGCCACAGTGAAAAAACAAATAAAGGAGAAACAGGCAAATGTGGTCCATGGCAAATGGTGAGAAAGGAATGACACAGATTTGATTCCCCTGCTGCCTGTTCTTCCCATTAAGTTCCATTAATACCATACCTCTGGACACGTGTTTAAGTGGAGTGTATATCCTTCAATGTACCATATTTAGGAATAGGAACAAAGAAACACTTTCTGCTTTTTAACAAAACGTAGTGTTTCTTTGGGTCCATGTGGAATACATCTTCCCGGTTGTGGAAAATGTTGCCATTCGTTTTTTAGTTCCTATCTCAATGGAAGGACAACTTAAGCCAACATGGAAACTGAACACTAACAATATTTTTAGAGATTGCAAGAAAAGTTATTCCATAGACTTCTTTCCCTAATTCATTCTAAAACCTCTAAAGACATCCATGTCAGGATCTTCTCTGATTTAGGAAAAAAACATGGCTACCTTACTGAATGTTCAGGTTGAGTCCTAAGTGATGTCAGTGTTTTATATATAGCCTGTCATGTTTATAAGTCTGAGCCAGAGGGAGTCTTTATTTTCATTTTAGAGGTAAGGAGACTAAAGACCAGGAGGTTAAGCAATGTTGAAGTTCCCAAGGTGGGGCATTTTGAAGCTGGAATTTAAATTCAGATCTGTCTATAGTGACCTTCATATTCTTTTATTTTTAATATATTTTTATTGATTTCAGAGAGGAAGGGAGGGGGAGAGAGAGATAGAAACATCCATGATGAGAATCATTGATCGGCTGCCTCTTGCACGCACACACTGGAGATTGAGCCCTCAATGCAGGCATGCGCCCCAACTGGGAATCAAACTGTGACCTCCTAGTTCATAGGTCTATGCTCAACGCTTGAGCCATGTTGGCTGGCCCTGACCTTCATATTCTTAACCACAGTGCTATGTTAGGCACTAGTACCTCCTGCATCATTCTCCGTAGCAACAGCCCGTTGTACTAAGGAAGAACCAGGGCTGTAAGTCCCAAGCCATGTGAAATCCATGTTAAAAGATCACTAATGCTCTTTCACAGCAGCCCCCATGCTCAGTCAGAAAGGCCAGCCCTGAGGAAGATGAAGTGAGGCTGATCTGCCCGTAAGGGAGTAAAGCTTGCAGTTTGGGCAAACTCCTACTCTGTATCTACTGTGGAACCTGCCACAAGAGTTTAGCAAATTCCTCACTGACCCATGATTTCACCTTTAATATAATATCACATCAATTCAGAACAAATTCGAGTGAGGCTCTAGGATCAACCTTA